AAAAAAAGTCACAGGCAGTTTATCCAAAAGATTCTTTTAGAACCTTGGATCTTCTTGGAACGGAACAGAATCTGCCTGGACTTTGCTATATTAGTGGCAAAGTTGCCTCAATCTTCCGATACGCTCATACTGGTAATCAAGAGGGGATTTTCTGAGAGATTCCGTTGCTCAATGTGAAGAGCCTGAGGATGGCAAAACTAAGAAGCCATATTATATCCCCTTCTCCCCTCTCTTTCGTCGATGACTCCCTTCGCCTGAACTGCAAAAATTTTCATGTGACCCCTTCCCCAGATACACTCATCTCATCTCTCATGTATGTTGATGTGGTAAAATTCCGTCCAATTATGAAAAATAAAACAGATCAAAACCAACCTTCACGTCGTGTCCCCAGTAGTCGCAGGAAAATATTGATTTCACTTTAGCATCCGCCCAAAATACACGTTTGTCGATTAAGTCCAGAGCAAGGCCATTAGGCCATTTTACGCGTTCGCCTTTCACTATGACCTTGAAAAACTCTCCAGAAAGAATAAGGGATGCAAAAAGTAGAACGAGCTTTTCACACAAACAAACATGACTCGACCAAAAAACTATTGTGCTCAAGCCTAGTAGATGACTAAGTTAAAACTAAGCCTCAGACAGCTTTACAGATACATGAATCTAACCGTTCTGTGTTGCCCATCCATACCAGCACGCTCAATACGTGCCTCTTTGCCCCAATCTGTCCAGAAGATCAAACCCATTTCGGGGTCCACGGCAATTGCTCGAGGTTCTTCTAGACCATCAGAGAATAATGTGCGTTTGCGACGCGTTTTTAAATCCATGACATTCACCTATCCAGATAACATTGTATTACGAGCTTTAGCCGAAGAAAAGCTATTTACTTACCTGATCTAGACCGCCATCGGTCCAAAAAAGAAGGTTATGGATCCAGTCGACAGCCAAGCCATCGGGAGTATGCACATCCGAGTCAAGAAGTATGCTTTGCTCACCTTCGGCGCACTATACAAAAGAAAATTATTGCAAAAATGAAAAAAAA